ACTGTAAATCAATATCATGTATATCATGCATGACATTATGCAAAAAGAGCATTTAATGGAATTCATTTTTAAAAAAAATGTTGAAATTCCTTTCATTTCTTTCAAGAAATGTAGGAGCAGATTGAAATAGAAAACCAATCAAAACTCTTCAAACATTTAAACTCTGTCCTCTAAACATGATCAATAAATGAAAAAAAAAAACTTAAGCTAATTTCAAAATCTTACCTTTCAAGTATGGAAGCCCACTTTGATTGCATTGAACTATTTTTAGACATCTTTGGGATTCCGACACTTTTGTATTCTATTTTTCATAAAATGGTTATCACCATGAATATAAAAATAAGCACTATAAAAAAATCGCGGACTGGAAAATTATGGAAGATAATCACTGCCAAATTTCTAACATTGCTGTAAATTTTACATGCCTTCCAGTCAACATTTGCAATGGTATGTCAAACTGCATTCTGACAATGTAAATTGTATTTTTATTTATTTCATGGAATAGTATATTTTCTTCCTACTCATTTATAATAGTGATTTCTTCTCACTGCTTTTGATGATGATACGTCAATTGCTATCCAAGGTCCTCTTTGACTAACTTATGAGTCTGGTGAATGTACGCGGAGGGTTTTAATTGAGGAACACAACTTTAAACTTTTCAGAGTCCTTTAGCTTTCTTTTATAAGAAGCTTAGGCCTAAAAATTACAATAATGTACCATTGTATTATGAATGTAGACATATACGAGTATTTGATTGGTTTTAATCCGTGTACATGTAACAGTTTGGCGCCAAAGGCTATCTCAGCCCCAACTGCCGCATCGACAGCAAGCACGATCTTATCTGTTGATCCGCCACTTCTTTCCTGGTATAAAACTTACCCGTAAGAATGGCAAGACAACTGGTCAGATCCATCTTATGGAGACCCGTTTACCTGGAGTCGAGTTTCGAGCTCTGACACTCTACTTTGTAAAATGTTGTTTTTCTGCCTCAAGTGTCCCAACTTTAGAGATGATTTGTTACAAGTTTTTTTTTTCAGTCTGACATGCCTCAATTTAAGACTTAATATGTGACAATTTATTTGTAAGCCTCAAGTGCGTAAACTTTAGAGTTAATTTGTGACAAGGTATCTTTTCAGCTTCAGGAGCCTCAACTTTAGTTATTTTTGACAAGTTATTTTTCAGCCCCAAAGGCCTCAGCTGTAGAGTTAATTTATGACAAGGTACCGTTAATTAATTCATTGTTGAGAGTTTGGACTGAAAATTGCCTGTTTAAGCGAGTTTGTTTTCATGAGGTCTTTATTAAAGGGACATATCTACATCACAATGTACTAAACATTTTGGATTCACTCTTAAATAATTGTGAGTATATTTGATTTTATTAATCTGTCAATTTTGAATGCATTATACCACTCATCCGACTTCGGTTCTATCAGTGTAATTGACGACACTTGAAACTGAGTATATAGCTCATGTTTTGAAAAGTCATACGAATCAAGGTTAGCTGGCTTGCTGGAGTTGACATAAGTGAATCATGAAGTTTGAGCCTTTTTGGTTTCTAACCTTTCCTTTAATGTGTATTGGAATTGTTGGGCATTGTTCTCTCTTCAAAGTTAAAGGGTTATACCAGTCTGGATCCATGCTGGTCGCAAACCCATTATGTTGGTTTTGTCGTGACACGGCTCAAATAATATGTTTACCACTCTTAAGCTCACGTCTTAACTTACACATTTTTACAAATTTTTGAAGTTCAAATCCAAAAAAAGGCATATGATGTATCAATAATTCGTTGTACATATTTATCCAAAGGATTAGGCAATATCATGAATAAATGGTTTAGTTGTGCGATAAGTATTGTTTTTATAACTGTCATTTTCCCAATTGGAGTTAAAACCCTTCTTTTTCATTGTTCTTTTTTAAATATGAGCCGCGTCACGACAAAACCAAAATAATTGGTTTGCGACCAGCATGGATCCAGACCAGCCTGCGCATCCGCGCAGTCTGACCAGGATCCATGTTGTTCGCTATCAGTTTCTCTACTTAGTATAGGGTTTGTAAGCGAACAGCATGTATCCTGATCAGACTGCGCGGATGCGCAGGCTGGTCTGGACCTGCTGGTCGCAAACGCATTACGTTGGTTTTGTCGTGACGCGGCTCATATGTTTTCTGTAAAATTAAGATTTTACATTTTTTCAAGATCCACATGGAATGTTATACACTATGTTTGTCCCAATTCAGTTTTCATCTCGTATATATGCTGTTATGCTGTACTTTTTAATGGCTATCCAAACAACGTTTGTCTATTCAAAGTTGATACTGGCCCCTAGATCTGCGCAAATGGAATCTAATCAATATTGCATACATTTTTTATGTAATATTTTTCTTTTTAATTAGTTAGAAATTAAAATGAACTCAACAACTGCAAAAAAATTTATTGAGAAAAAAACTTTAAAAAGTATCAACGTGCCTAAATTTTGCAATTGTGCACATCTATTTTCCGTCATTTTTTGTAGATTTTTAAAATGAAAACAACAAAAAAAGAGAAGTCAAATAATTATGATCTTCACACTCTTTAAAGCAGTTCATTGATTGTATTGTGTAAAAAAAATACGTAATGTCGAATTATCCACAAAGTTACAGATAACCAGTCTCTCTATGTACAGCAAACACCTGACGTTGTTTCAACGTTGGATCTAAGTTGGATTTATGTCACGACGTCAAAATCCTAAATACAACGTTGAAACAACGTTGTATTTGCGACGTCGTATCAACGTGTTGGAATTACGTCGATACGACGTCGGATTTCAGTGTAATCCAACATAGTAGTCTTGATTGAGTTACTTCCCTTTGTTCTGATTTATAAACCCGATAGGTGGCTCTAATTGCAGGTCAATATAATCATTCGAATTTTGTTATTTTTTTTTTTCACATCCATTGCATTTTTTAAAAAAAAAAACTGTTGTTATACTAGACCATAAAAAGGAACAATATTAGTATTTCAATTAAATAAATTGAAAAAAAATAATGGAAACTTGATGAATTTCAAAACGAGGCTACAACAACAATTTGTTTTCAAATTCAAACAAAGACAAAGGACATTATACACATCATAGAAGACAACTCGCATAGTGAAAAGTAAGTGATATTTTTGAAGGTAGATTAGTATTAAACTTACTGCATGCATAGTATAATAACTGAAAAATTATTAGTTACATTAGGAATATAATTATATTTTCATGATATTCAATTATCTCAGTTCTAAACCAGTTAATTAATGTAGTCTGATTCGCCCTCATTTAACTCGTACTTTGGGATTCAATTGATATATAAATTGTATGAAATTCTGTCAAACTTTTTGTTTTATTTGTGTTGTCATTTTAAGCCAAGATCCCTACATGACCTTAATCTCTCTAATTCGATTTATCAGATTAATAGACTAAATAACAATAGGTATTTCACCACAACGCATTTGTTAACAAAGGAACACCTGTCAATATTTGAGATTTAATCTATTGTTATTCAAATAGATCTACGTGTAAAAGGTCAAAGTAGGGATCTATCAATACATAATTATACTGTCAAAGTAAATTTATAACTTTTTTCAATAATCATTGGGTTTTGGTTTTTTATAGACTGACACTTAATTTTTGTGTGATGACAATTAGCTGCATGAAAAACAGTCGACAGAAAACACCATTTGGACATAAAAGAATGATAAGTGCATCAAATATAGGTAATATATGGATTTTGATTTTGTTATTTACTGTAATTTCTGTTTTGTCATAACTGTTAATCAAAAGTAAAATAATTACGTGAAATGTCTTATGATTGAATTTGCACCTTTACATGTTACTGTTTTGCAAATTACATATATTTGAAGTTACAGTTTTTGAGTGTTCTACATCATCAATCGACATCTGATTTTAATTTATGATATGGTAGGGTAATCTGTTGGTAATAATACCGGTATTTCTATTTAATAGAAATTATATGAAGCAATTTCAAAAAGTAATAAAAAACAACTTTGAAATATTAATGTTTAAAATTCGCTTAGAAAAATAATGAATTGTTCATATAAGGTATTTCATTTATCAAATGGTCGTCTACCTTCGAACATCTTCGTGTTCTCCTATAATAATCCATATACAAAAAGAAGTACATCCTCATTATTTAAAATAACAATAATTAGAATAATGGTAATAATAATAATTAATGTATTTATCTTTATTCATTTATATATTTTATTTTTGATAAGGGATACGTTATGCACATTCATATACGATACTAAAATGAAACTTTAATAGTTATGTTTTGCAGTTTTTACATGGTTAGTCTATTATAAAAGATTTTCGATGTTTGATTTTTTCTTGACTGCTACGCAAGAATTCCGTCCCTAGTAAAAGCTATATGATCGTAAGGCATAGATCAAAATATGTCTCTTTTTCTATGTTTAATGAGGGTATTTTCGTCTAAAGAGAAAAGAAGTTTTCGCTGTCGCGTACAGTCTTCGGACATGTCACTAGTCATGCCTTTAAAGGTTAATTTTAAGGCGTCATATTTTCCACCATGTAGTTTCAACGAAGTATTGGCCAAAGATATAGAAGTTGAGAAAAAAGTAAGTCAATGTACGACAGGCAATGAGAGAGGAAAAAGAGATAACCCTGGAAAAGGCTGATGGTGCCGAGCAAAGAGTCTGTCTTTCAAGTCGCCAATCTGTGCTAGGCGCTCACGCACCCTGGAACACTTTCCTCGTCGTTTGTGAGTCTGGTGCTGAATAACGTCTGAATCAAAATCCTTTTTATATACCTTTACAATGATTCTTTTATTATGTATCTTATCGTATTTGTTCAAATACAATGTAACATATTTAACCAAATTGTAATGGCTTTACGTCATCAACGTCATTCCGTTTTCTTTATGTTGTATGTATTTTTGAGAATTTCAAAATGTGTACAAGTATATAAAATAAAAGGATTGTTATTACTATACTGAAAAGAGAGGCATCAAATAGACGAACTGAACATATTATAATAAGACGTTTAAGTATAAAAGAAATTTTCATTAAATAATTTCAACCATTTTGACATTTTATAAAGATTCAAGTTTGGCGTAACGTCGTGTAATGTGACAGTATCATATCTTATATGTATCATCAAAAATAACAAAACATAAACCGTTAAACAATCCACTTACTTTCAGATTTAACTCCCCAGGAACGCATTATGATTTCTGCATTGACTGACCGCTGAGAATTTGTTCCTTTACCAAAGAAATTTGACACGCATATCAGCCCTCCATTTGTTGCATTTGTAGGTCTCCAGAAACGCATGTTTACAAAATTGTAGGCATACACAAGTCCCCCATAGCTACAAACGCTGTCGGTAACAGTCCTTCCGAAGGCCATTGCACCGCTTCCTTGGAACAGGAAACCAGCGTTTGGTCCCGTGTTACTTCGCGCCTGAAACGTTTAATTCGAGGTACGTTTATCGGATCGCAATGTCTGTTTATATCACAGTTAACGGGAAAGTCACTCAAAAAGTAACTATTGAGCCGATATGTAGAATTGAGGCAAAAAATACCAAGATATACACATTGTTAAATAATAGACAAACATGCATGCATCGCATGGTTGGATTTTTAAACGATTTTGACAAATATAACTAAAGTTGTGCTAAAGCAAAACATGCACAATTCCTTTTGGGTTTGATTATATTGGAAAACCAAAATAAAATAAAATAAAATAATTAAAAGAATGATGATGACAAAATTAGGGTATCCATCAAATTAGCAAAGTATTTAGATCACCCCGTCTGCAAAAGTAATCACAGTTTAAGCATTTCAAAGAATTAAACGTTTTTGTCCCAGATTGTTTAAGAACTCTCTTTCAATTTTGCCAAACAATAGCAATTTTTAAAAGTGAATAATATTTTGTTCAATTAATAAGTAACAATATTTACCCATGCACGTGTAAGTGGATTTTGAACAATGTTTCTGTAAGGAACCTCTAATGTCTCGCTAGGAATGTTTGGACCAAGTGAGGTTTGTGAATATTCTTGCTCATTCATTGTTAGAGATTTCCAGGCGTACATTTCTAAATATCCTTCATTAGCCATGAAGTCAATAGAGTAGCCATCGATTCCCGCATATATGTACGCTTTCAAGCAAAATCAAACAAACAACAAACTAGTTAGGAGCATTTAACGAATTTGTATGTTGTAAGTGACAGTTTAACTTGAATGCGAGACCGTTAAGAATGAAATGATTTTTCATTTCCTTATTGTTTTTCAGCTTAATTTTTTGTAACATGCAAAACAATAAGCAGTTTCACTGGCAAATCCTTGTACAGAACCGCCATTCGTACCTGTACATACATATTTCATCGCTAATGTCGTAGTATTCTTTCACTGCGATTCAGTCCAGCCTCGTCCGTTCGCTTAGCTCAAGTCATAGATTATCGGATGAGCAAACAAGGGGCTGCTGCATGGTTCGATCCCTCGGACATCAACTCTTATGGTCATTTGTCTCTCATCGTTGATTTAGAAATCATTCGGGATAAAAACTCGATCACTTGCGAAGAAATTGGTAATAAGGTATCTAAGAAAATTTAGATGGATCAACTTCCGAGATATGAACAATGTGTTAGAGTCGGGATAAAAAACAGAAAGCAACAAAACTTGCACAAATTTTATCAAGTTACCCATTGGAATGATATTGTGAAGTGCCTGTCAGAATTAGCAAGGTTTTTTTACATTTATTTAAGATTATGTGTTCTTATTGAAGTCTTGACAAAGTGAAAGTATTTGTTCTGTGTTACGATTGTATACGCAATTGTATTATGATTAATATGTTTGCATAATTAGATTTAAGCTGAACGATAAATATCAATAAAATAATGAGAACAATGGTGTTCAAGATTTGATTCTGAATCGTAAATATACCCGACATGTATAAAAACATTGATAAAATATACATTTTTCAACCCACATACTGTGCAATATAAAACATTGTTCAATAAATTAACCGGTCTATCACACAATAATTCTTACCCCAATTCTGTGAGTCGATCCAAACCCTTATTCTATCTTTGCTAACGCCATGCACTATATGACAATTTTGGCTGTTTTTCCCATCTCTATACACTACAAAGTTTGCCCCTGTTGAAATTGTCATAAAGTAGTACGTAACAGTTACATATATTATCAGTAAAATATGCATCAAATTCACTACAAACATTTTATTTGCAATGACACATTCAATAATTAAATGAAAATTGATCGGACACATTGTTCTCCTGTAGAAACTATAAAGAAATTTAAAAAATCATGTTGGGTACAAGTACCATACAATTCTGTTTTGCCACACGATACTGCCCTAGACTATTATATTTGTGAAAGCATCGGGAACTCTAGGGAGACTTTTCCTTTGGGCGTTCTACACCTTTAAGGCTGTTAGATGTCCACTTGTATTGCTAAAAAAATTAACATTAGACACTTTCCTTACAAGTATTAAATATTGAAACTAATCATTATTTTACTTACAATTAACCATGACGACGAAAGGCAAATGTCCCCATACCAGATCAAGATAAGAAAGAAATGATAACAGTCTACGTATTTTGAACAATAACGATTTTGTACGAAAATGCTTCTAAACACATTTGACAGCTGCTTTGAAGCAGGTAAATGACATTAATTATTACAATAATGAATAAAAGTTTTAAACATTACCCCGCTTAATTTCTAAAATGGACACGACTGTATTTTTCAATCTAGACAATACCATTTATATTGTTTTCAAAATATGTCCTGAGTGACAATAACAAACAGTGCAGATTATGATCAGTTTGCAAGGTCGTGCTATATTCTCTTTTGTATCATAGTCAAACATAAAACCACGTTCCCTATTGTCACAATATGAAACCCCAATGAACGAACACCTGAATATGATATTTCTATCATTTTCCCTTTCTCTGTCATCACTACAAGTAAAACCCAAACAAAAAATGAGCCATTCAATGGGCATGCTCTGGTGTGGGGGTAACTAATACCTGCATTCCAGTTAACGCATGGGCATATAAATGTAAACGATTTAACTCTGACACATTTTCAACAGAAAGGTCCCCAAACTATGATACCATTAAAGCATAAAATGCCTTTAGAACTATTAAATTGGTAAATGTTTAATAATATCAACACACTAAGAATTGTATCCTGACATACGTTTATAATTTTGACAAAGCGTCTCTGATATCTCGATTACTTGTTACGATGATTTATATTCCCGAGGAGTTAAAATGGTAGTAAAACAACAACAACAAGTGCAGTATGCTTTGTGATCCAAAATTGTTTTTATTTGTATATGCAAGTATAAGGAGAATGTGTAAAATAAACTGTAGATGTATTTATTTTACTGATATGCCTATTTTAAGTCTTAATATCAAATGTGCAATGTTGAGAGGGAAGTTTTGAAAGATTTGAAACAAAATGCCAAAATGCCAAAAACCAAAACCGACAACATCCCTATAACAGCAGGCCAAAGGGTCTTTATGCCTTAAAATATCGGAGCCATGTCACGTGAATAGTCATTAAATAATTTATAAATTAAACTTATAATTATATATCAATGATATTTATAACCATATTGTTTTTTAACTGTTAATACAAATGAAAAAAAGTTATTGCTATAACATAATAATGATGAATTATCAAAAATGTGTAAAATTATTTGTATAAAAAAATCAGTTTAAATATTATGTATATTGTAAATCATAAATATTTCTTTGTTGCTCAGATGATAATGTCCAAAAATATACTTAATGATTTAGGTTAACTTACAAGCCAGATTTCAAAAATAAAATAATAGAAACTTAGAAAAAATCAGGGATTGTAATGTACACGTAGGGTATGTTAAGATATGTATTTAAAAAAAATCAAGTTTTCTTATAACTGTAAGTAAGTGACCAATGCCTTGTTTTTTTTGTTGTTTTTTTCTGGACGGGAGGGGGGGGGTTATGATGAGTACATGAATGATTGGATGATAAAATGAGATGAAATTTTTTTGGTAAGTATCATCATACTTGACGTTGATAAATCAAGGTCAAAGTGTAGATTTGATACTTGTTTTCGTGGTTTTATGTATTTTTTTGTTCAAGGCAGATGATATTCATCATGGTCCGGTTGTTAACAAAATATTATTATGATGAATTATCAAAAAAGTGTAAATTTTAACTTTAATGTATAAAAACAGTTTATATAGTATTTATAGTGTAAGCCGGAAATATTTCCTTGTTGCCAAGATGAGAATGTCCAAAAATATACTTAATGATCTAGGTGCGCTTTCTGACTAACCAGATTTTAAAAAGAAAAATGAATGAAACTTAGAAAATTTAACAAATTGGTGATTGAAATGTACACATATGGTATGACAAGAAATGCATTTTTAAAAGTTTAGAGTTTTTTTAAACGGTACGACCAATGCCTTGTTTCTTGGAGTTTTTAGATGAATACATGAATG